GCTTTCCTCAGTGTGTGTCCTATCCACTTCCAGTGACTCTTCCAGATTTCTTCCTCAGCCGGAATCTTGTTTGTTCTTTCCCATAGTAGGTTGCTGCTGATAGTGTCTGGCGAACGGACCCGAAATATTTTGTGTAGACAACTGTTAATAAACACCTGTATTTTCTGGATGATGGCTTTCGTAGCTCTCCAAGTTTCCGCCCCATACAGAAGAACTGTCTTGACATTTGTATTGAAAATTCCGACTTTGATGTTGGCAGTTGACAGTTGTTTTGAGTTACAGATGTTCTTCAGTTGTAGAGATGCTGCTCTTGCTTTGCCGACCCGCCCCTTCACATCTGCATCAGATCCATCGTGTTCATCAGTGATACTGCCCAAATATGTAAAGGTCTTTACATCTTCCAAATCTCCGTCAAGTGAGAATTGGTTGGTACATGTTTTGTTGTATCGAAGAATCATGCTTTTCCCTTTGTGTGTGTTGAGACCTACTGCTGCTGAGGCTGCTGCTACACTGGTCGTCTTCTCCTGCATTTGTTGTTACGTGTGTGATAAAAAAGCCCGATCATTTGCGAAGCCTAGATCATCCAGCTGCATCCTATCTGTCCACTATATCCCATGCTTCCCACCAGATGATTACGTATTCATGATCCAATCGATCACCGGGAGAAAGAGAAAGGGTGAGAGTAAGCAACGAGTCTGTCAGCTGTCATCTATGCACGATTTTGCAGTTTAATCCATCATAATGCTTTTAATAAGCTTACATTAATTGTCTATTTTGCTTAATGTGGAAGTGATTACAGATATAAACTATACACAAAGTGTTTGATGCTGAAATCATGGATATTACAAATTGTTAAAATCTGTATATTTTTTACATTCATTTGATTTATTGTCACAAATAGTTTACAATCTTTGAAATGGGCATGAAAACTATCTCTAAAGCAATAGATACAAAATTATTTGTTAATAACAAAGGTACTAATGATCTATCTACCAGATCTATATAATATGGTACCAAAATATCCATGCTTCAAGGTTCGATGAAGTTCAGTCTTACACTAAAAAGTTTATGTCAAAACTAATTTCAACATATTCCGTGTAATTCATACAATCAAACGAAAAGCGTTGAACTCACTCATTTTCCACAATATAAGTCAATCAGCTTGATATTATTTAGTTGAGCTTTTTCCTGAAGGTTAGTTTAATCTGAAGAGATAATATCTACTGAAGGAGCTTGAAATACTGTAAAACAGTGGATTATTGATCTGTTCTAGTAAGGTGCAAATCATGATTTTATAAATGGCCTAATTAAGAATTCTAGGTCTCATGTCTGGCACGATTCAATAATCCTCATTTTTTAATGATTTCTGAGATAAAATGTGTATATAAAGAAATGTGTATTGAAATCAAACTTATCTACACTGAGTACACATTTAAACAACAATTGCAGAAGTTAGTGTGGACTATTAGTCTACTTACTATAAAATCCAGAGGCTCAAAGTTCAACTTTTCATAAGGTTTTTGTTGTGGAAATATTAAAGTAAAGAGTGTAAGTAGGGCTTCAACGGGAAACGATATTTATATAATATTTATTCATTAAGAATTCAGGAAATAACTACTATCTTTGAAATATCTAATGTTTATAAAACTCCTCCTTAAAGACGAGTACTTGGGCCATCAAAATAAAAGTCATCTAGGAGTTACTACTGAACCACATTTTCCAGCTTATAACACATGCAGCTCTAAAAACTAACTGATAGAATTTATTTTCAGCTAGAATTCTTCCTAAATTTCTTCCATGTATACAAATTTAGTTATATACCTTACTAAAACAAAGTGGGTTCCATCTAAGAGAAATCTTTTAACACCCAGTTACAAATTCTTGAACGTTTTGTTACAATATAGACTGATATATTGTTGGTAAGCATAGTTTATCGAACCCATTTACAGGTTTTCGAAAGAATCATAAACCGAATAGCATCAGATTATCAACACCTAGTTTTTGCTTGTCGAAAAAGCGAAGTAGTTTTAGAGATTAAACTACATTATATGTAAGGTAATGATCTAATTCGAAGGAGAACCTAGTGGATGTAATAAACTGGAAATGACCGACCTTCTAGAAGCTGACTCGGTTTCCTACGTATCAGCTAATTAGATTCAAAAATGTAATGCTATAACAGTAGGAAATTTTTCCTTAAGAATATATATTTCTTATCCAGTCATTTAATTGTTTTAAATTAAATATATTTTTTGAAACTAAATTTCATTACAGTATTATTAGATCGTCACTAAGTTTCAGAGTGCTTGATGATATAAGAATGATAGAAATTCTATAATTTATAAGATTGATAATCTTAAAATCCCATCAATTATTGCAATACATATTACAGACCAGTGTTCAAACCTTCTTTATTTGCATGCTGTTTTAAATTCGAAGCTAATCTTAAGATGGTAGAAAAGATTTGTAGCTCAGGTGGATGGTTTTGGTGGAGTTTGTGCTGATGATGTCGTTCAGAAGAACGATGAAAGCTCCATGACCAAACCATCCAGCTCAGAGAACAAAACTCTACCAAAAAGAAGCTAACCTTAATTTTGATGTTAACTGCGACATAGGCTACCGTCGGTTATTTAAAATTATAATAAATAATGAATATCTCAAGTTACACTCTCCTAATGTATGGATTTATATGTCAATCTGATAGTTCACATTTTGAAGTTTTGCACCAAAAGTTAAATAAGTCGTTTATCGCATGTCGAAGCATTTAATTTCAATTTAAAATAATGAAAAAAACATAGATACAAGGTATCAGTTCCTAGTACTTTAATCACACACTATTTCTTCCCATATAATGATAATAGTGGCCCATATGAATATTTGGACCACTTACTTTCTAACTGTGCAAACAATACAATTAACCTACCTATTTTAGATTTGTATGAGGAGTTTCGTGGATATTATAGTAATTTTAATTGTCGAGATCATGAGTTAATGAAAGCTAAACCACCACTGGAAACTTGAAAGCACTGGATGGCTGTTTTATCCTATTGTAGGACTCCTCAGCAATGCCTACCCACCATTCCGCCTCGCGAGATTCGAACCCAGGAGTTATTGGTCTCGCGCGCAAACACTTAACCTGCAGACCAGTGAGCCGGTATCTAACTGTGTTAACATCTACCTTCAACTAACTCACGAAATTGAGGAATCTCACAAGAAGACGAAATGGCCGTACAATGCTCACAGGTTTTCCATGATGGTTTAGCTTCAATCGGCTCATGATCTCAACTGTTAAAATTATTTTAGATTTATTTGAACAAATAAACTTTGGATGCTAAATGTATGTGCTTATAAAAGACTTTGAAAAATTATTGCGAAACTAAGTTTTGGCAAACTCGAACCGAAAATCTACAGTTCTTGATATTTTTTCCTAATTATCTATCATTTGATAAACAGGGACAATTACATTGTAATTCAACTATCTTATACACGACAGATTGGTAAATAACTTTAGTATTTGAAGTGGTAGAAAAGTTTAATAAACGTCTAAAGTATGTATCGAACTATATCTTTAATGATTATATTTTAAGTTCACGCTTATGTTGAACACTCAGTGCTGAAAATTCTATGCTTTTAAAGAGTTTCTAATACTGAATATAACTAGTATTATTATTTTCCCTCATACTATTATTTTATTTTAATTATTATTATTATTTAATAGAATGACGAAGAAACACCAAAACAGATTCTGTCGCTAAGGCAACTTTAACTGTTCCTAATATCAATAATAAGGAATATATATTTGATAATGTATGTAAATAGAAAATGTTCACGTTTTTTTCAAGTTCAGTCTTACTTTAGAATCCTTGTAAGTGAATATAAACAAAAAGATTCTCTTGATCGTTTCCAATAAAACAATCATTTAATAGACGGTTACTAATAAAATTAATATCCCTATGAGTTGAAAAATTGATTTATATATATATATATATATATATATATAAGCAAAGATGGATAGTGGCTAGCAGTGGAAACTAAGACGCGCGTTTCGTCTTATTTTGAACTCGTCAGCTAGATGTACCTGCATCTCAGAGTTGATATACACTCTGGAACTTGAACCAAATACCGTTCGCTCCAAACGTCATCACGTTATCGTCTTAGCTATTAAGTCCTGATAGCCACTGCTATCCACTATCCATTTTTGCTTATAATGCTTGTGAATTAAGATAATATCGTGGTAATACGCACAGTATGCACATGTACTAATAAGAGACTGGTCAATTGCAGTCCTAAACATCAATGGGAAGATTCAAATAAACAATACCAAGTGAATGTATATAATGATTTGTCTACAATATTGATAAACTTTGTCCAGAAAACTAATGATTCGACTATCTAACACTACAATCAAATATGATGACCTATTTGTTAAGATATATTCATATAATTTAATTAGATTCTCTATTAGAAGTTTCTTTGATTTTACTCATTTCATTTCAATAAAAGTATTCAAGAAGAACTAGGATCTTTGTGAAGTTTTTGATCAAAATAAAACGCATAATTTTATATTTTCTGTTTGAAAGAAGAATAAAAATATACATTTGTTTATTTGGAGTTTTTTATCATTGGGATTACTGATACCTGAATACGTCAAATGAACAAACATTAACAAATACTTGCATATTTTTCTCTTCAATCAGGTTCATATTAACCTGTTTTGATAATTACTCCATAAAATCCTAAAGATATAAATGAATGTTTTCATGATATTAAGAATATCATCTAGTTGTAATAACATATTGTATATCATTCATTATGAATGAAGATGTTCAATGTTCAATGTGAATAGTTTGTTTTGCCATTATTCTAAACATAATTCAAATGTTAGCTAATGAGTTCAATGACTGTACAAAATTATTAATAATATAATAATCATCATCATAAACACATTTATAATCATAATATTGTCTATATAAACTAAACATAGTTAATAATGGAAGAAAAATTTAATCACCATCTTTAATTAATCTGTCAAATTTTTGTACTCCAGGAAATGTATAAGGTAATGCTATATCAATACCATCCATTACTCGTTGAGTACTTCTATAGCTAAACTTAAAATTGAATAAAAAAACAACAAATAAATGATATTATCAGAAGGGGTTTTGTGGAGATTTTAGAAATTTCACTGGTTGAAGTCATGAGTCATTTGAAGGTAGACCACCATGGAAAACCTGGAAGCAATGGATGGCCGTTTCATCCTAGTATGGGACTCCTCAGCAGTGCACATCCATGATCCCGCACCCCGCGAGATTCGAACACAGGACCTATTAGTCTCGCGCGCGAGCGCCTAACCATTAGAGCACTGAGTTCGCATCCAGCGGTGTGAATGTCTAGCTTCAACCAATCCACGAAGTTGCGCCAATGTATACCATTGTCTTCAGTGAGCTGATATCTCACAACAGACCTGGTTAAATATTAACATTGATCGTGGAGGCGCACTGTTGAGGAGTCCTATACTAGGACGAAAAGGCCGTCCAGTGTTTCCAGGTTTTCCATGGTGGTCTAGCTTCAATTGACTCATGATTTCAACCAGTGAAATAAAAGATACTTTATTAGATTTTCATCAAAAAACAAACAAACAAGACATTGTAATAAAATAAAAACATGTTGTATTGCTGATATGAATTATAAGTATGAAAATGAATATTTTGAAATCAGTTAGACTTGACAAATAATACAAATCATGATAAACAAGTATTTGATATGTTGATATGAGTAAACTAAGATTTGTTATTCCTTACATCATCGACTGATTTCAACTATAAGAGCATTGAAAACTAAAAAAACACTGGACAACGGTTTAGTCTTAGTATAGAATTCACTCAGCAATGAGGGTTCATGACCTTATTTAGGATCAAACTCAAAACTTTCAGTTCTCGCAGTGAGTGGTTAGTCTCTAAATCACTGAGCCTGGATTCTATAATAAATATATCTAACTACGATCAGTTTAAGATATTGACCGACATGGTTGAACTCTACTGCTTCCTAGTTTTTAAATGTTGTCAAACTAAGATCCGTCCGTGATGCATACTATGGGAATTCAAGAATATACACAATCTGCATTTACTAAAGTTTATTAGCTAAAATGAAGTAATAATAGAAACATGTGAAGACGATCGGTTGGAATACAAATAATCAACAAACTGGATGGCATATTAAAAAAAATATTTTCCTTATTTCAGTGATAATGAAAGGTATGTTCAAAACAAGTTTAAAACATTTAGAAATTCGAATGGCGAATTCATTAGTTTCCTAAAATATTCAACTTAGTGGAAGGGGACAGTGGAGATTTTGGAATTTACTGATAATCCTCTGCTTACTAACTTTAAAGAACTCTGGAGTTGAGAAACCGTGACCGGTATAGTTCAATCCTTGTCAAATGTGAGATAGTATTCCATCCTAGGCAACATATGAGAATTACACAATATCATGAATTATTTAAAGTCAGACATTAACACCGTTGGGTTCCACCCCAGTTTTCTAGAGACTGAGCGTTCGAACCTAAGACAGAGGGTTATGGGTTTGATTCCTGAGTGTGAGGTTGTGGATGTGCACTACTGAAGAGTACCATAATAGGACATTATACTTGTTATACTTGTGACGTCACCTGTAGTTGCAATAATAAATTTACATGTACCTGCAATAGCAGGTGCATAATAAAGACAGAAATTAGGGCCTTTACAAGGTTTTCTGAATACATTCCTAGGAACCTACGGGTGAAAAGAAATAAGGTTTTAACAAGTACAATCGCCAGACATCATTTGAATGATAGATACGAAGCAGATGTAAGTAATGGATTAAAAATAATGTTCAGACAAATAAAAAACACCCTTCCTACTCCATTCGGCAGAGGCAATCGTTATCAAGTGTTTCTGACCTGACTTATATATACAAAATGAAAATGCGATTAACGTTTTCCTTCCATGGTGATTGGAAATTCATCTTATAATCCTTATTAATTCTTACTTCTAACTCTTTTATTTCAACCCTGTCTCCAATTCTTTTATCTTTATTATTCTTTTGTCGTCTGATAATCATGTGTTACATAGTCTGATCGATCTCTACATGTCTGTTTATTTTGTCATGTTGGGTGATTACCCAGTCACTTATTAATTTCATTACCGTTACATAACCTCTGAAAAACTATTTTACAGTACATAAATACACATCGATCTCAAATATGTTTATGCATATACTTTGTATCCTTATTCTACTTATTCTTATGATTTCGGTAAAATTTCGCACATTATCTAAAATCCACAAACTAAAGCATGTTAAACATCAAATGATGAGGAGAGTTATTCATATCAAATATTGGATGTAAGGGGATATTCTTCTTATGGACTTTTGGGAACGGAAACCGATGGTCTAACATGTTCATAGAGGTCATAGTTGGTACTAAACTGATCTTTATCCTTCCTTAGGATGCTAAGCACTTAGTATTAATGGTATTATTTATTATTATTTTAGTTTGTATGAAACGGATGAGAAGCTGTTATAAAGCATGAATTCATTTTCTTCTTCAAACCTTCAAATCTTTTTTTCTTTTAATTCCGATACTGTTTACAAAATTTTAGTAGATGAGCAGGATAATAAAAATAAACACATAGAAAAACTGCCCTTACTTGTCCAGATCGTGGGTGATAAAACTGAGCTCCTATTCTTGAGAGCAGTTCATCCACAAGGACCTTTGTAAGCTTTGGATGGCTTTTAAATGTGCTAAAAATTAACATAAAATTTATTATTCAGATAACTATAATTTGTAGTCACAATTGATTGATCATTGAGTGGTGATCAATGTCATGCATGTCTAGTCCTTATTAGTGCAGATCGAATGCTATCGATCATGTCGCAATGTGGCCACCAGTCTAGGTGACTCGACACTGCGGGCACTATATATTGAGATTTAGATGGTGGTTGGAGGTAGTCAACAGGGAACCCTGGACCCGGGTTTCGTTCTACTTGGCACTCGTCAGCAAGGTGTACCTGTAATCTTGAGGGAACTGGTGCTCCCTAGCGGATAGCTCAGTGGTAACGTCTCTGACTGTGAAGCTGGGTGACACGAGATCGAGTCCGCCAGGTAGCACCAGTTCCCTCAAGATTACAGCTACACCTTGCTGACGAGTGCCGAGTAGCACGAAACCCGCTTCCAGGGTTTTCTGTTGACTACCTCCAACCACCATCTAAATCTCAACTATAATTCATAGTGTTCTGGATAAATATGTACATATAAGAGTAGTTTTACAAATATAGTCGACGACATGTATCAGTAATCAGTAATTAAAATTTTAAAAAGCTCTGTATACTGAGAATGTAATGGTCTGGTGACACAGATAACCTACTAGAATTCATGAACTTTCATTTTATAATCACTAATGAGAATAGATTATAAGTATCTTTTTAATTGAATGTGAACTAGAAAACATCCACACAAGATCGATAGATCTTAGTTCTTCAATTTCGAAATAGTTTCCATCAGGATCTGGCATCAGCTGAAGTCAATGAAAAATACTGAGCACCGGACAATTGCTCAGTCTATGTTTTAGGTTCAGAAATCCATACATTTCAACAAATTAATTGAAGTTGGAGATGTAAGGCACCGAGTACTGATTCGGTGGTTTAAAGGTTGGGCGCTTTCTATGAGTCTTACAGGTGTCGGTTTTGATCCCTGGAATGGTTGTTGATGGAAATGACTAAAGAGTCTTATATTAGAACAAAGTAACATCCCAATGCTACATAACTGATTATTATTTTAACGTTTAAGAGTAAAGGTAATTATATATAATTATTGATCACAATAGTAGATTAACATAATTGCTTTAGAAAATTATATTGCATTGAAAAGGATTTAATACATAACATATCTACCTCGAATTAGTCAGATTTTTATTTGATTCATATTGCTTTCCGTGTTTTTCCACTTCAGTATTAATTTTTGTTTGCATAATATCATTCAATTTCTGGAAACGGAGTAGAAATGGAAAATATTAAACATAAATATAAAGAATATTTTGATAGATTACTTAAACCATGATAGAGGTAGGTGCATTTGTCATTTAAATGTAGGTTCTGTCAAATGAGATTATAGTATACTACTGTGAACTATTAAAGAAAGAAAGTAGTAAGAATGCATTAGAAGTACAAATGAATCATTCAGAGTTATCTATAATGGCGATAAGATTGTCGATGACAATGCCTATTCACTTTTTCTTCATTTCAATAATCTACCAAAGATATTATAAATCTTTAATTATATTTGAAAATGATAATTATTTAGCTTTTTCTGTTACCATGGTTATCATTTTTAGTTCTACAAATCAATCACCTCTTTTATGCTCTTTTAATCTGTTACCTGAAATCAGGTAGTTTCCTGTTCCTATGATCTTTCTGATTATAATATTTATTAGACTCAACCTTACATTTTATACAATCTGTTCTTTTTCGAAATACGAACCAATTTTCTTGTATTTTTGTTTCTTTGCTATTCTTTTCATCGAGTAATTATGACGTATAATCCTGTGATAGATATTTTATTAGGAAAAACTTATTTCCAGATTCATACATTCATGAATGAAATGATCGACTAGAAATCGGTCTATAAATCATTGGGAATGAACACAGTATCAGTTGATTGGTTTTCCCTAATCAATCATAGAAATATGTAATAACATACGCAAAAGTAATCGCCTAGACGTTTCGTAATTAAGCTAACGTAAATTGTGTCAAGTCCTTGGTTAGTTATGTCGTATAGTATGAAATGTACAATGATAAAGTATTGTTTATTAGTTAGTATCATTGTATTTTTGTACGTATAGTATCACAAATAATTAAATTGGAATCAGCTAATACTTCATTGACACGTTTTGAGGCTTTATACTAAAATATAACACCAACATCATTTTGACATTCAGTCAGCATTACCTTGTTACACATACTTTTAACGTCGATTAACTTTAGGTCGTAAAGTTCTTATGAGAGTGTTGAAATCAAAATAGTTACATGTAATATTACATAAATTTCCTTTTTGTGTGTTTCGAATTTAAAAACATGAAGGAATCTTAGAAAGTATGAAACATTCCAAAATTTATGAAATGAATTGATGTACATTGACAAGCTGTCGACAAATCTTATCTTTAAATTCAACGTTTTTTTGTTGATTTTGACAAAGTTTTCTTGGTCATACAACTTTATTTCGATAAACCTATAGCTTAGTTCAATGCAAGTTAGTGCAACACTCCAAATTAAAAACATGTTTAAGAACACAGGTTATTGACTAGGTTGCCTATAACGACCTGTTCGTCACATAGTATATTTGCTAAGTAAGGTATTAAAGAACTTTTCTACTTTTGCTTGCGTGCATGGATTTTAATGTAATTACGTCTCGTTCTTCCAGAAGATATACAAGGGGAAAAATATGAGTGAAGGGAATGGTTAGTATCTGATAAGATAACACCTTTCAGGAATTTGCAAGAGTTTAGATGTCTATCCACAGCCATAATAATAATAAAGATTCACCACACACCTCCGCAGTACAGCAAAATCTTTTCTCAAAAGCACGGGAAAGAACAATGGAGAACAGTAATGAATAATATGTAATATGCAAGAATTGACAAATTGTAAGAGTAAATGACGAGTAATCCCAAAAGCATGAAGTCTCTTTATATAGTAAGTCAGATGGAAAACTTTCTTCGATAACAGTAAGACACGAGAAGACCAAGAGAAAACAGAGGAAAAAGTGACACCAAGATAATTGACCTTCGACACCGTGTCTATCAAAGAGTTTCTAATGGCACAAGCATTATGGGATCTCAAAAACGTTTTTGGATGCCTTTGGGTGAAATAAGCATTATATTTGGTAAGAAATCGATTAATCAAATAAATAAACAAATAATTAAATTTTGTATTACTTTCTACTTACTTTTATAAAAGTAGCATCGGCAACTATTTTTTCTAATTGATCACGATTTTCAACTACATTTAATGGTACGATTGATTGTGAAAACAAAATGGAATTAGAGTTTTAAGTTATGCAAATGTCAAAACAAAAATATGTTATTGATGTGTGGGCTAGAATGATAATGATTAGTTCTCTGCTTAGTCGGACATGTAGATAGTCCGACAGGTGTCAGATGAATTATATATTCCCCTATCCCTATTATTATTACTCACTTATTATTGATTGTTCATTGTTGTTGGATTGTGTCGTGTTTTTGATGTGGAAATACATCTACGTTGTGGTCAGGCTAATCACGTGTTCTTGATCTGAGTTGTGTTGAAGTCCTGTAGAATAGACACTGGGAAGGAATCTAGTGTAGATATTTGTCTAACGTAAATTAACGTCCCATATGTGTAAATGTGTAAACCCAACCGTTATAACATTAGACGACGTAAAACCGAGCGTTATAACAGTTATGACTTGTTGTCTATGGTTAGAGATGAAGAAAGTATATGCATGTACTAATCAACAACCAAATTTTACACATTATCGATACTCAAATTATATTAAACAATACATGAACATTATTTCATGATTTTTACTATAAAGAGATTTGAAGAGAAAAACATTTCAACGAGAAATTAGTTTTTATTACAGACTAATGTCAAAATGAAAATCGTTGAAGATCAGGTAATCAATGAATAACTGCTTTGTAGTGGTTTGTGACTATACTTATGATCAGCCACAGGAACTTTAAGTATTGTGGTAAAAACAAAGCCTATCGACCATTGAAATAGGATTGAATGAACATTCTGCAGCTTAAATAAAAGCTTACCTAAAAGTGAGTAATTTTAAGAAGCCCATAGTTCAGTGATAGAAATAATCAGATACTGAGTAATAAGTAGTTTCTAAATAGGCTCCGAAATTTCTGGTGAGCAACTGTACACTGGTTAATTATTGTCCGGCTGATATTAGCTAGGGATATAATTGAACTGGATATTATTTTTCTATCAGGATCCATATTTTATAAGCAGAATTTTAAAGAGTTAGCTGTGTGACTTAATGATCACTAACATAACAACAACATTTATTTTAGAGTGTAAACGTTTCTGAACTTCCTGTTTTCAGGCATCACTTTCAAGGTATAGATAGACATTTCAAGATTTATAATATTAGTTTCAACAAGTATCAGAATTCTAATAACAAATATACTACTTGTGATATCCCGATTAGTAGAAAATTGTACTTCTGACATTTCGCGACTTAATGTAAGCTACTTCTTTAGGGCAAAGAAATAACCGAAATCAGAAGTATAAATTTATTCTTTTATAATGTTGATATCTGATGTTAATAACATCTTTAGTTTACTTGTTGTCTACTCTAACTAGCTTCATCAGATACTCTTGTTAAATGTAAACATTGTGTATCATGATATCGGTAATCGTTTTTATTTCTCAATTGTAGATGTTAAGAACTGCAAATGATCAATCACTTAAAACATATATACACCGTTAGCGGACCACCTTGATGTTGACTTTTCAGTCAGTCAGTAACAGCGTAGAACTTCGTACGTACGTACACCAGTTCAAGTTGCCATACTACATTATGTTGACTTTTATTTATAGTCAGAATTTGGCTGACATCTGAGTCCACGACACATTACTTAGACATTATATCTTACAGTATACTTGGTACTAAATCATTTTTAATATATATTTATTTCGAGATCGATTATCGTTTTGTCAGTTCAGCATACAGGAAATATTGGAAATCGGATTAGTCAGTACTCTTATATTTTTTGCTTGAAGTATGTTGATTTAGCTGCTGCTCAAAATGTGAGTGCCACTTTATCGCTAACAGTTAAATTATTCTAGACAGTTTTAGCTCCATTTTCATAACAATAAATTTCCTATTTATACATGTCAAAGTTAATTCAAAAATCCAGTAGAATGCCTTGGGTGAATTAGGTGTTGAATGTTACTACCGTTTCTCTTTAACATGTAGTGAGCGTGAGCTATTCCAAAAACATCTATGGGTTTCAATAGTTTAAGTGAGATTGAGGTTTGATTTCACTCAGGCTTCATTAGTCTTTGTAAGCGCAATTTTCTTGCTTATTCTGTCATATAGGTAAACAGAAATAGATGATAAGTGAATAGTTGTGAGATTTGAACTGTGAAGAATTTTTTTAAACAAATATAATCTTGCATATAAGTAATGTGTTTGATTTTACTATAAATCAATGAGTTGATCTGTTTTTCAAAATCTAAATAAATCAAAGAACTGATGATACCTTAGATAATTCCCATGAACCTTTAAAAATTGGACGTCGTTTACTACAGTGATATATGATCACATGGGTTTGTTAAAAAAAGGTTCAATAAATGAAGATTTATCCTCTGACATTATTAAACGAGGTCATCTTATCAAGTATCAACTGCTTTTACAGAGGCAGTAAACTATCTCCAAATAAATGAAGCGGAACCTAATCACTGAAAGTTGAATATTGTGACTCAGTTTTTCACTAAAAACTCGTTTGATTTCTAAGAAGAGAATTTTACTAATGATCTAAAATCGGTGCGGAAAAGATTTTAACTGATATATCTTTTAATTTTTACATTCTTATATCATTTGAAGGAATCGACCATTATGTTTAGCCCTATTGATCTAAGCTGATAAAACGAGATAGATTAGTATGATACTGTGGTATTCAAACATCAAATGTCAATAAATTCTTGGCAATAGTTATATTTGAAGACTTTATTATTCGAAATTGTACTACTCTTATTACCTGTTTTATGAGTGAACTTCCACCATGTACGCAGTTCATTGACTACATTACTTCCTTGGATTAAATTAAAGCTATTTTGCTGACATTTATTTGAATTAAATGTTGACAACTTTGAACTGTCCATAATCACACCAGGAGGAGGTAACTGATGTAACCAGTTTCTTAACCGAGTCAATAATATTCGGATTGTATGAGGTAGTAATGCTTCTTGAGGACTTTCATAATCCAAATAGGCTGGTTGACGAGAAAATATTTTAGCATTGTTTGAAGGACGCCATCGTTTGGCTGGATCAGGTGAACGTGGAAAGTATAAGCCACAGAGAGCGCTTGAAGAAACGGGAGAATCGCTTGGTTTAAACATTGCAGGAAGTGTTGAATACTATGTATTATGGAAAGAGTTAGAAAAGAATGCTAATTAGTAAAATTAATGTTTAAAACATAATTATGTTACTGAGTTTTACACAGTTGTTTCTCTCTATCTCACACCTCAGGAAGCACAGTATCTTCACTCAGTTTCAGCAGTGAGCTTCCACATCATTTCCAAATTGGTTGAGTTCAAAGATTGTGGTTTCTCACTATAAATTCTATCTTTAAGTATCTTAAAAATGAGAAACACAAAAAGACATAAGGCTTGTTCCTAAAATCCATGTGGAAGTATGATGTCAATTTTACTCGTCCCAATTATATTTAATTGTGGATTTACAATGTCTTCAAATTAAGTTCCAAAGAAATCTGACTAAGCTATCACAATAACACTGAACAAGTAAAAAAAGTGGTTTAATATCAGCAGACACTTATGTATGGAAATAGAAATTAGTTTTCAGCATTGTTTCCTTTTATTTACTAATTAAATTTTAGGGATAAATCGTTTAGTCCTAACCTGAACTAATTGAAACAGTTTATTGTTCTCAATTTTCCAGTAAAAGCTACTATATTTAGCCGACTCGAGTGGATAACTTTGATTATTTAATGCAAATTATCACGATTTGAGTGTTTTTTGAGAGTATTTCATTTCCAGTTAGGTTGAGATGTTTGTGGGTATCAGATATCCAGAAGGAGAAAAGTTTATTAAGCAATTAACAGTTTATGAGAATGAAACTGTCTATTATCAATGATACACATCCTAAATTGAATGGTTTTTATTTGAAATGCTTGTGCAAAATGAGAGGAATATCAGAGCGACTAACAACATTATCATAATCACAAATGTCTGTTGCTTAAAATATTAAGTATCTAGTAGTATGGGCAAGGTATTGGCTGTGTATCTGAGTCCATCGTTCATGTCCACTTATTGGGAGTTATATGTAGTGACAGCATGATCTTTGTATAAAAATCACGTATAAATAAATCATTATTGATGAGTGGAGCCGATTATTCCATCGTTCGATGGAAAATCAGATAAGGAACATCCGTTCTTTACTGATTTCTAGAGTTGTAATCTTTGTCGGAATTGACTTTGTGTATACGACTGACAGGAAGACATTCATCACACAAGACGTCTCCAGTGTGTATGACTGTGTTTAAGCAATCAACACATCCGTGCCTATTCAGAATTTATCACTAGTCTCACTTTATAAGTAGTTTCGCAATATATGTACCAAACATAATTAAGCTTGGGTGCAAATAGCAGATGTAGCCTTACGTGCCACTTCATTACAAAGCTTGATTAGAGGGACTTAACTAATCGTTTTTCAAATATAAGTATGATCATAATTATTAATCAACACATGTGCTCGACAATTATCTGTTCTAACTGCAATGCCACCTGGAATTATGCTCGACTAACAAAACACTCAAATATTTTAGGTGAGTAGTCTAACTTACAAACTTAATTACTATATTCCAGATGACTGAATACACAATAATAGTGTTTCAGAATTTTCCTTTCATTAATTATGCAGAGGATGGGAATACAAGATTACATATAACTTTCATTACAAAGTTTGTTAATTGTTTATGTTTTTCAATGAGATCATGAACCGACTAATTTTGGACCACCATTAAGAACCTGTAAGCAATGGACGGTCGTTTCGTCCTAGTATGGAAGTCCTCATCGGTGGTAAGCTGACATTGATTAGTTCATGATTTCAATGAGATACAACAAGCTCTACAGCCCCAAACTGAACGTTATCTATATCTTTAAATGAAATTTAGTTTTAATTTTATTATTACAACATTGAAGGTAGATCTGGATTATACTAGATCACAGTGACATCCTTCTCATTATTAACGTATAATACCAAAACGCATCTATTTATATATTATAATAAATCTGCTTCCTTCTAAAAATCTATAGTACATATTCTCTAATAGCATCTATTTATAAATTTGATTGACATGATTTGAAACACATATACTTTCTTACTGATATAGATCACTTGCTAGCCTATTAAAATACGCTTCACATTTCAGATCATGAAGTGGATTCGAACTACATTATTTATACTTTTGATATAACGTCACATGATTTCATATATCAGTTGTTGTCATCTAATTTATCTGTTTATTCAGTTTTTCCATAAAAGATTGAGGCGAATTAGACTAGTCATTTCAAAACAATTGAACTAAACCATTCAGTTGGATACATATTTCGGAAGTATTTTGCCTGTTATTGTTATACTCATAAGCCAAAGCATTTTTTTTATAACTAAGTAATAATTTGTAATGATTTATAATACTATAATTATTAGATCAACACTGTTGCAGAGCTAAATCAAGGTGCCTTTGGGCTAAGTAAACCTTTCTAAGTGTGATTGGCCTTGAAACTGTCCTTTTGACTGATTCAACTGGGATTGTAGTCTAGGGTTAAGAACCAAACACCAAAATCAATCACAGAAGTAGCTCTCATGTGGTATATAAATTTAAAATTCGAATCATCACCCCTATTCTCTTGACACCTTGTCAAGATTTTTATTATGAAGGGGTTTGAACAATCGCGATTATGATGAACGGGTTTCGGAATGTTAAAGTAAATGCACAGAATGACATATAATAGATAAACTAAATAGTACTATGTGATCGAATGATGAATGATCAAGAGACTCGATCATAGGCATGAATCCTTGGATTAACTGAGATCAAAGACAACATCACTAGCCAAAGCAATGAAATATTCAACACAAGAATAATTATAATTGGAAGTCAATTGGAAGATAAAAATAAATTAGAAAATACTCGACGTTGAAGATACTCGAGTGCTGATGAAACTAAGACTTAATTATTAGGCTTAACTTTTATCCAAAATATCACTTATTTACTTTATGAATAAGTATAGTGTTGATCGTATTGTATCAAATTAAAAATCATGAATTTAATCTCAAAAAATGTTCTATTTCTTACACGTTTAGAATTATGCAATAATTTTGTAATACGTGAGAATAGTTGACGACGAGCACGACCATGACACATGATTAGGAATTCTTCAAATCGTTTTTGAAGTCTGTTAAATAAATAATTAAGAGGGTTGAATACTGGTCGCTGTTCTGAAATAAACATTGAGTAATCAATATGCGATTTAAACGATTAGAAAATAAATGAGCTATTGATAAGTAGTGATAGGTCTAAAATACGGATATGAAGGAATGACTGTATAGGTTTCTACTTCTATAAAATAGTTGAATATTTTATATTTAACTATAGTAGCTTCAACATTTACCAAACTAGCCATATTTTTTAATGAATGTAATATTTTTAGGAAAAGCAACTTTTATGAAAAAAGTCTAAAAGTGATATCATTTTCTTCGAAAGGGAGGTCAATAGTTGACTTTTATTTGTTTATGAGTATCGTTACTCAAGGCGGCCTGCTTGAATATCTGAGCTACCTGTTCCTCCGATCTAGATATTTCATCAAGTTATCTGTTTTGTTGTTTGTTTTAGCACATCATTATGTCTATTGTGCACACAATCTATTCAGGCGCGTTTATGAAAAGTTTACAACCTTTCGCTATACGGGATACAAAAAGGTACAATCAGCGACATCATGGTGGCCGGCAATATGCATTGAAACGAATGAACATTAATCAAATGTGGATTACCGAACTCCTCACATCTAACAGGTCATCATTCAAAATTTATCATCACAATCGATCAAGGTATAAGAAAAGGAAATTTATTGAAATACTTTATGCTGAGAATTCTATGTTGTACCAAAAATATAATGTTGAATAAAGCTTCTAATAATAATAATAATAATAATAATAATAATAATAATAATAATAAAAATACTAAGTTGATGTGAAGAAAAATATCAACTTTTGAGTACCACAGACAAAACCAAACCGTCACGAAATGACAACTGCAACCACATATTACTATGTGAACATTCCAGTTACGTGTTCTTAAGGTAAACTACAAAAATATAAGTTCCAGGATCTTTATATTATTTAAAGAAGAACCAATTTCTCATCTTATTGCTTTTAAAATAAAACAGATTTCAATAAAAGTATATTGCAAGGCCATTAGGTTCAAACCCATCAATGTAATTTATATTAATATGTGGGAAACTTGCTGTTTTGTTATCATAACATGCTACCATCACCTTGTTACAACCATTATGAGTTATTTGCCATTAAAACAGAAATTACATCATAATATTGAGTTACTAAGTCATAATGTCCACGATGTCTTGTTCAAATGATAGAGTTGCTGATACTACAATGTTTACAACTCAGTTATCACTCTGCGTGTTATTTTATACTTAGTTTGAATGTTTAACACTCAAAGAGTTTTAAAAAATGTCCTACTCAGTAGGACTTCATTGATCTACAAGAGAGAATTTAGCGATTCTTTATTTTTTACCCAAATACCCTTAAATGATTCTTTATAGGACATAACAACTCAACAAATAAAGAATTATTTTCCTCTTTTTATATTTTGTGACACATTCATTTAAATCCTCAATAATTAAATGCGCCGTTGAACACCTAAGCCTAAATGATGTTTTTAACTTAGAAACTTAGTAGTTTAAACAAGTCAAATGGTAAAAAAGTATTTAAAAATCGACAGCTGACATTCACTTTAGTACCAATCGTCAGTATTACTAAGTTAAACTGTAATATATGGTCTATGCTTTGATGTATGAATGTTTTGAATTGTAATGCTTAGTGTTTAGTGAGTCAAATTATTGGGAAATGTTCTAGGAATTTTCTCTATGTAATTTAACAAGGCAACAAAGAGGAAATGCCAGTCTTTCCCACTTGATAATTCTTGATCTAAAGTTTCATACATTCAGCTCTACAATTACTGATGTTACAATCAAAACTCCTTGGGACAAATTTTAGAGGATATCTATTTGATGACAGATAATTTCAGATTTATAACTTACTGTTTGAGAATTAGTTTTTCACCAAACTCAGTAGAAACATCGAGGAATAGTGACGGAATTGCATGTCCGGGATTACTTATCTTTGTACATAAAAAATGAAACATTAAAATAATTGTATTCGGCATAATTCTGAAACTTTAACGGTTAAACCAAATGGTTATCGACTTCTATAATTTTAGAAGTACATTGTAAATAAAAGTAGATGAAGCTGAGCTCGTATGATCAGAAACATTTTCTTAGTATTCTAGTAGCAACGGTTGACTCAATTACAAAGACCTGTCTGATTGCGTAGTGAACGAACATTCATATGTGGAAGGCTAATTTATTGTTTAATGCACAATCTCACAGTAGTTTAATAATATGTGAAAATCATATATCAAATACATCATTAGCACATCTTCTTAGATTGTCTCTTACAAACTTCAATGTTAGTTCATTCCTGTTCTTATCATGGGTGTTTTCAGTTTCCTTCTCTTTTCTCTTCATCTCAATCTTCTCAAACTTCTGCTTGCAGACATTCCACCTACGACTGATGTGCATATTACATATCTGCAAATATATGTAGTATACACAACCGTAGTAATTTAAACTTAAATCTCAGAATATCTATATTCCTTTTAGCACTTATGCTCACCAATCCCCCTCGTATATACTAACCGCCTATTTTATTTTGTGCTATGAGAACAGTTAAATAACGATTGCACCGTCATAAATAACAACCTAGAAAACATTTTAGGTTGTCTTTTACTATTATTGATTTATTCACTAAAAGTAGTTTCCAAAAGGTGAATTTTCTGTGAAGTGCAGTTAAGCGATAGGGATAATGGTAAACATTTTATATAAATCATCAGAGACTGATATCACCTGTACTACTATTTCAAACAGGAAAGAATTCAAGGCGTGCATAGTGTTCGCTCGCTACACCATAGCACTGTAAGGCCACAAACTCACAGAAAATTGTGACCAAGTCCTTTAAGCTCGACAGTAGACCCTACACAACGTGAGTACTTAGTCAAAATACCAATGGTCATCATTGTCTAGCCTAATTAATAAGTGCTGTGGTATCTTGAAGCTTTCCAAGTTTTTGATTAAAGCGTTACCCTATTAAAATTACTGCTTCGGTTTGACAGATTTTCATTTCCAGGTTGTAAATCATCAATAAATTTATTCTAAGTAATTCCTAACAAACCACCTCATTCTAATCAGTCACAAAATAAATAGTGACTTGCAAATTCCGCTAAAAGCCTTCTAAACTTAGCAACTAATCATATTCTATTTAATCAGAAGAGATTGTCCCATTAACAAATCGACAAAGGCCATAGGAACTGATTGGGGGTTTTCAACTGACATATATACTTACATTAAAAAACTTCATTTCATTAATCTGACAGAAACAAAACTATTGGCATCAATAGAAATAAGTTAGGCCAAACAAATCACAATCAACATCTGATTCCATGTCATCTTAATATGTTTTGTAAAGTGTAATATTAGGGACAAACTAATGTATAAATATCGTTGCATATGAATGGATAAATTTACCTGCCATGCATGAGGATTTTGATTGGATGTGATCCTATAAAAGTGATTCATATGTAGCTTGCATTTCATCTGTATAAAGAAAGGGAAATTTATTAAAAAAAAGACATACATCAGTTGTATATGAATAATCAAATGCCTAATGTAAATTATCGTTAATAAATTGTAAGTATTTCATTTTGATCTAGTTTAGGGGGTATAATAAAGTTTTACAAAAGTTTAAACAACTTTCTTTATGTAATTAAAATGTCATTCTTCTATTTCGTGTACTATAACTTGTTTTATTATTCTAAATGAAAGTGATTGAATGAGTGTACTTGGAGACATCTGTGTGAGACGTTAATGACTATAATGTTTGTAGTGAACAAGAACACCAGTGAGGACAATAGAATGTATTTAACACAAATTTATAGGACTTGATAATAAAATCTAACAATCATAAAGTAAATGCTTCATTTGCAAAATGTTTCGATCAGTTGTCTCAAAATGACTCAGACTTCATTGTTCTTGTATTTTCATACAAATTGCATCCTGTTTCCATTCTTTACTGTTCGATCCTCTTGTCTCTCTGCTGCCAGACCTTCTGTTCACGACTAACATCATATACTACTTATGTCAATATAAGTAGCACACACCACATGTTCATTTAAGGAATGTCCTAGTAAGCGATCTAAAGACACAATTCTCATTAGTCTTGATTAGAAAATCCTGGGTTTTATTACACATATCATTTTAAGTATATAATGATACAGATAGATGTAACAGATCTTCAGTGATCCCTAGATTTTATTTTATTTAACCCTACTACGTAATATGGCTGAACTTTATTCCATGTTATTTGGTAGTATCAGTACATAGATAGCTCGAAGATGAACATGTAGACTTTCATTTGGTCATTGCATAATATTAATAATAATTAAAAATTACACTTTCTATAAATATAATGCATTTTGCTAGAACAAAATGCTCAAATGCATGCATTCTTACATTGTTGTAAAATTTATCTTTCTCACTTTCTCTCTCTCCCTCGACTACTGTAAATGAGCATTAGAATTAACAGATGAAATCATCACATGAATTCACTTGTCATATATGATATGGTGTACTTAATTACCCAACACCATACATTACTTATTGTGAAATGTTCAACCGGATCACTTGTGAGGTAGTAACTCACTGATGACAATGGTGGATGTGTCGCTTAATTTTGTGGATTAGTTGAAGTTAGACGTTAACACCGTCGGATGCCGGCTCAGTGGTCTAAGGTTAAGCGCCTGGAGAGAGACTGATGGGTCCTGGGTTCGAATCCCGTGGGGCGGGGTCGTGCATGCGCACTGCTAAGGAGTCCCACAATAGGACGAAATGGCCATCCAGTGCTTCCAGGTTCTCCATGGTGGTCTAGTTTCATCTGACTCATGATCTCAACTGTTGAAATTACTACAATCTCCACAAAACCTCTTCTGATTCTTAAAATAAGTTTTGTGTTCATATGTATGAAGATTGTTTATTTTGATGTTAAAAAATTCATGAAGTAACTCTCAAGTACACTCTTATGCTTTTAATTAACTAAAATGTATGAAATTCGATGTTTCAATGAAACATAAAATTGTACTTCAAGTGTGTTTTAGCCACAGTTATCTTAAACAAAAGCATTTTTCTTTATGATTTTTTCATATTTATGACTGTTCAATAAATGAAAGGCGAAATGAATAGAATACAGTTAAATGATTTTCCATCCAGTATCGAATTACCATAATTATCATAATTTTGATTAGTTCACTTGTTTAGTTCGATGATCATCTCATATTGGATGAACAGACGTATGGTTATGAGTTTGATGACCGATGATCATGTGAATAATTTATGTATGTACACTCGATTGACTGAAACAGAACTTAAGAATGTTGATAAAGGTTTTAGTTAAACGTGGGTTACAATATGATGTTCTGAAAATTCTATGTTGTACGGAAAATATAATACTGAATAAAGCCATCAATAATAATAAACAGGGTTGTTCGACTTAATTGCTTCTTATTCAATTACGATTATTCATGAACCACTAAGTGCTGTAACTAGGGTTCATTTGAATGGCAAGTATACAGCTAACTAATCAGGGCATTTCTGTCACAAGCACTAAAATATTATCTAGAATAGATATTAATGAATGATTCGTTCCTTTCTTTCGTAATGGTTGCGGTTACTATACTGACCTATGTATACGGAGATTACTTACAGAGTTTTCCTAATGTTCTATCACTCACTAATTTTAACTAACTTTATTTTTGTTGATTTTGTAAAACCTGGTTAGGTAACTGATTGAAAATGTGAAAATGTCACTGTCAGGTGTAAAAGTAGTCGGTAACTGAAATGTTATTCAAACTCATTGGATAGCCAAACAGAAAAACTGACAGTAAAGTGCGAGTTTTTATTCAAATTCTAGGCTTATTTCAACATCAATCAGAATATCTGTTGTTGAGGACGTTAGATCTCCAGAACTCACTTGGAAAAGGTCCTAATTTTGTAATTTTGTTCTGAAAATTCGAGTGTTATATTTTCGCGCCAAAAGACGTTTAGTTGACCTACAGCTTACATTTCCCACTCGGAAACCCTTGACTGTCATTGGTTGACGGATTTTTCAGTACGTTATTTTGTGGCTCTTCCAAGGACGTTTCTATCATTGTATAAATAAGCTTGATTTGTGTGTTTAGCGACCTCGTATTTTCTAGGTACTTGTAGAATACATTCTCTACGCCTCATTAAAACTTCTTGATCTAGTTAGCAGGGCTGAGGACAACGGATCTGTATCTTTGACCTTCATTCCGTTTACCGAGTAAGGTGAACTCGTAATAACATTCAAGCATATCATCTGTATGTTACAGACTGATAATTATCATGATTTAAATATTATATGAAAACATAAACCCTCTGTTCTTTAATGTGCTTCACAGATAGAATTATTTGATTGAGTTTTGAATACTGAGTCATAAAATTCTCAAACAGAAGTATGTTGTTCCTTAACTTTATTATTACAGTGAACCAGAGAAAAAGAGGTTTCCTTCAGTGAAATACCATTTGTATTAACTTTTAATATTTAAATCGACTTGAAATAAGATTACTCAGATTAAATATTCAACTTGCTTGTAAAATTAATAAAAAAATATGCATAAAATTACCTGTTTTGATTCAAAATCTGTTAAAGCTCTAGCTAGAATAGTTTGTCCTTTTTTTAAAGGACGTACACGATGATAAATTGAACCGAGATTATCCAATAAACGATCACATAACTTCAGTGCTTTTAAATGATCTGCCAATGTTTCTTCAAAATGCTGTTCTAAGAAATAATATAACATAATATGTATTTATGTGAAAAAATCCTTACATATATAATAATAACGACGTATTGAAAATCGTATAGCATAAGATCATAATGAGTTTGAAACTTCAATTGTATGTTATAAAAATGAAGCTTTTAAGAACTATGTTTGATCGTCAAGTGCCGACAATTTTCATAAACAAAGTCGAACGACTAACCAGAACGATATTATCTTCAACAATATTTGAACGAATAATTTGACAATAATTATACACCAATTATATAGAAGACATTATTTGTGCTATTTGAAATAATCTCAGCGATTTCAACGTTTCGTCCAACAAACGTGTCTAGACTTCTTCAAACTCATAATTAAAATCAAAATGACCAGAGTATATAAATATAGCTAGGTAGGCTTTTAGTATAGATTTGATTGTCGAACGTCCTTTATTATCTGATTATTTTAGTTTTAATTGCTTTGAAGAAGTATAAACAAGATTGCTGGACGAAACGGTGAAATTATTCAGATGTCAATCACTGAGATTATTTAACGTGTGACATTTATACATAAGACTATCTTTAGTAATTCAATGCAGTTCTACCAATATCTGAACTAACAAAAAAGACAATTACTAGATCTAAGCATGCTTATCTAAACAAATACCATTAAAATGAATTATTTTCAAGTTCAGTAGAAAAACAATTGACTGTAAAGACTTTGTAAAGAAAGTAGCAAATAGTGGATATAAAATAGGGGCCAACAGTAAATAACCGATAGAAGGTATATAAAGTTAAACAGATTATACATTTTAATAGCATCATCATTCTTCAAGTATATTGGAGTCAATGAAAGGACACAAAAAGATTATTTTTGTCTGATCATAAAAGAATGAACTAAACATCGGTGAAAGTAAACGTCTAATTATTCGATGAATTCACTGTTTGTGTCGAGGAGACAGCTAGACAATTAAAATTATTCAATTTAGGTTGTTCGAACTTGACTAATTTATGTATCGGTTCAAGTTAACAAACTATACAACAACTGTTGACAATGAAAAAGAATCTAATGGAATAAACAAAAATGCATTCGGAAAGAAACGAAGGGAATCGACAATGTTATATCACTACTCTAAAGGTTTTAAATAGTTATCCCCGAGAATTTGCTCACTTAAGTTTCAGAAAATACTGAACTATTACGTAACATAATTATCCTCAGAAAATTTCAAATAGATAACATTATTTCAAAGCAATTAATCCCTTTGATACATTTTAATAATGTAATAAGAAGATGAAGATTATCAGAACTAGTCTAGTTGACGTTTTATTTTTATATATAAATGTTCTTAACAAGTGTATTAGGTGTGACCAAATTGTTCGAAATGTATTGCGCTAATATATCATCACATAGTACTGATAACATTCGTGTTCTTATTACATCATCGACATTATTTCAGTTTAATAAGTTTTCAGATATATTGCTAAATATTTCAACTTTTGTTATATCCCGATAAGAATAATGAATGGTAGTTTTTGAGATCCATTTATGGACCAATACTATGAGTATATTTTTATCGTATAATTGTTATGTAATTAAACTGTTCATGTCGCTCTTATTATATGCTTTAATTTGACCCATAGACTATTACTATACGATTTACCATTCTTGAGTTATGGCCTGTCTGTTAATTACTATCTCCCTCATTCACAACCACTTTTGACCAAATATTGTACAAATGTTATTTTCTATTTTATGGTACGTTGTGGTCTGTTTGATTGGTATATAAACCGAGTATGTTTGAAACAGATGATTCATATTGCAGAAGCTGAGATTGGTGTTTTGGACTTAACTGGCTGTGCTAGACAGGAAGCGAGATCAATCAGGACTCTAGGCTGCTCTTACGTGTTTTATGCGTCACTGGTTCGATTGATAATTCACTGCTCTCTGATCGGCGATATCGTTGCGTTAGACAATAAACAGGGCACACAGGCTCACAAGTTATAACAACTTTATAAATGAAACTGTCCTATCAATGTATTCTGTTAGAATGTACTTTTAAGTTAGTAAATCAAATCAACATTCAAAGAATTTATGTATTATTGTCAATAGATGTGAACTTACATTTAATTGTGAATTCATTTCATATATTGATAATATTCTTGAGGCATGATTTTCTGTTGCATCTAACCAATCCATAACTGTACGAATGGAATGAATTACCTAAAATGTAATGATCAGAAACAAACATCAAATAAACCATTAAATGTAAATAGTTTTAAGGATAGATCATTAAATGTAACTTAAAAATGTATACTTACCATTTATTATTGTACAATGAGTTTTGAAATTTTGTTCGGAGTCAAACTTTGTTCATTGATTCACTGAATACCGCTAATAATTTTGATGAAATTAGTCGGTTTGTATAGTGTGTACAAGACGCTATACAATAAACTTATTTTTTTCTATCCATGCTTTCTTCAGAAACTATATCTAGACTTAAACCTCAATATATTGAATATTAGGCAGCAGTATTTATAGTGACATATCATAATTCTCCTGAGAACATCCTCTTCTTCAAAATGGAATATAATTTTAAACAAAATGACCCACCGTGAACTTTACACAATCTGGTGGATGTTAGTAAACTACAGTAAAAGCGAGTCAAATGACTCACCTACTCAATTCATATATAAGTCTACATTACCAATGTAGGCAGTCTCTAGCATTGTTATGCAGTCAAAACACATATGACTGGAATATATTCTAGAGTAGTGACTTCAAAATCAAAAAATGAGTAAGTTACTTCTTCATCTTACTATCAAATGTACCATTTAAAGAAACACATAGATGTTTCTAGATATTTATGTTTGTAATTATATTAAGATGAGATGAACTTTGGATTTAGTCTCATATTCATTTTCTCAATGTTTAGTATGTTTAACATTTTAGTAAATAACTTATGAAATCAATAATCACAAATGAAACATTGAAATATACATAATAGAAAAAGCACATTAAAATTAAACCTGTAATTTGATAAATGATATTTGACACTAACAGTGAATATTGAAAATTACCAGAAGTCTTAATTCATTAAAACAACAAAAAAACGAGAACAAACATTCATGGATTGTCTGAATAGAAATTTTAAAAAAAATTAAGTACAGAGTAATGAGAATACTCAGTTGTGTATTTTTTAAAAATTGATTATGGTAGTTTTCAAATCAAAAGTTTTTTATGGCGAGACTAATTTATGAACGAGACAATCAGAAGCGTTTGAGAGATTTCAAGGTCATGGCGCCAACTTCAGTGCTTCATGCTAACGTACGGTCGGTTCCCAGGGAATTTGGTACAAAACGTGATAATTGAAGGGTTTTAACAAATAAAACGGCGAGACAATATTTTGTGGACGAATCAATCAGGTATAACTTAACAGGTCTTGGATTTCGGCGTGAAAGCCTTCCATCCATTTGGCTAAATAGATTTCTGGCATTATAGCTGATTTCAGTTTTTGATGAAAACCCTATATATAATTCCTAACTAAGGCAGATTATGATAATTATTGCGAACTGGATAATAAAAGCACCAGTAACACTGGCTGCAGCCAGGTATTACAATATATACGGATGATTGGAGAGCCAACAGACTCCTATATAGGCTTGGTTCTGTGCATCGTGTCGTTATCCACAAGCGGCATTTTGTGTACTCAACAACCTGAGTGCACACAAGTAATATTGAAGATATGTGGTCCAGGCTGAAACAGTTTTTGAGACTTTATCATAGATCCAGAGGCCGACTATTCTGTAGCCATATGGATGATTTCTTCTACTGCATGCATTACGATTTTAGAACCTCTGAACAATTTTCTAAATTTGACAAGTTTTCGAATCACGTATAAGAAGTGTATCCACTTTATTTCTTTGGTTTTGTGTAATATATTTTTACCCTTTACTTACTGTTTGCTGATTGACTAATATTTATCAATGTCACTTAAGATTCGTTCAAAGGTCGTTCATAAATTATAGTCTCGCCGTTTTTATTTGATATCTGCCAGTATTTGAATGTTCTACATTTTTTCGATGGACAGGTTCGACTTTGTTTATGGAAAAAACAACATCTTAATAAACTATACTGTTTATTAATTTAAAGTAGATAACAAAGTTATCCTTTGAGAGGAAACCTTTTCAATCTCTGTTGACTATGGTTAAGGTTTAATTTGTTTAATGTTTATCAAGATCGTACAAACGCATAATACAAATACAAAGTTGTTTTGTTAGTAATATCGAACGACTAGATTAAAAACAGTATGGGAATACTGTTAACTAATCAGAACATACAAACAAGAAAAATATATATGTGCAAAACTAATAATAACTAGTAATTAGCATTGTTATGAAGTTATACAACAAAATACTTTAACACAAACTTGATTTTATTTAATGTCTTCTACATAAAATAACTTTTGTTATTTATTTACACATATCTTTAAGCTAATCTAATATCACAGATTGAAATCATGAGTCAATTGAAGCTAGACCACCATGGGAAACCTGGAAGCACTGAACGGTCGTTTCATCTTAGTATGGGAATCCTCAGCGGTGCTAATCGACGATCCCGCCCGTCGCGAGATCCAAACACAGGATCTATCAATCTCGCGCGCGAGCGCTTAACCATTAGACCACTGAGCCGGCCAGTATCCAATAATGTTAATGTCTAACTTCAACTAATCCATAAAATTGCGCTACCGTGCAACATTGTCTTCAGTGAGTTGATATCTCACAACAGATCTGGTTGAGGCGGCCTGCTTGAGCATCTGGGCTACCTGTTCCTGCCATCTAGATATTTCAACAAATTTTCTATTGTTGTTTGTTTTAATATATCATTATGTTTATTAATCGCATAACATATTCTGCTGCGTTTCTGAAAAGTGTGCAACCTTTCGTTGTCAAAGTTACAGAAAACTCAATAAGAGACAATATGGTTGCTGGCAATGTACGACGAAAAGAATGTACATTATTCAGTTGTTCATTCACTGAAGTGCTAACATCTAACTGGCGATTCCTCAATATTTATCGCCAGGACCGACCAAGAAGAAAGAAACGGAAACTTGTTGAAATACTTTGCGCTGAGAATTCTATATTGTACCAAAATTATAATATTGAATAAAGCTAATAATATTAATAATAATAATGAACTCCACTGGTAACAGCTTCTCACTAGAACTCCAAGAGATGCCTCTTGAAGTCGGTCACTAGTGAGCAGATGATAAGCCCTGGGTTAGAATCTCGCTGAGAGCGGGATCGTGGATGCGCACTGCTGAGGAGTCCCATACTAGGACGAAACGGCCGTCTAGTGCTTCCAGATTTTCCATGGTGATCTATCTTCAAATGACTCATGATTTTAACTAGTGATATAAACTCTGTTACATTTTGATGACTTGATTAACACATGGATTATATTGTACTGTGAAGCGTTTAATAACAAAATGTATTATCACTTTTGAAGTAGGCGCTTTATGAAATGAATATATATTTTATGAATGACAGCATACATTAAATTTAACATATTAATGGTTTGGAAACTAAAACGAACTAGTAAAAAACATTAGATATAATTTCTTGTCAGAAAAAGATCAATAAGATGGCGAGATAAGTTTGCATCTGGTGTCGTAACCGCAACTTGTTCTGTTACAGCTGATAACAGCTGAACAGATATATGTGAATTAGAGATAATAGTTCTAACATTTATGTAAGTGTTTTTGCAATAATTATGGCTTTTTAGAAATTATGTGTATGTGTGTGATGTAGATGATTCCTGTCAGTTTGTTAAAATGGATAGAATTTTAATTAACAGTGAAAATATTCAGCAGAAAACTAATTAGTTGATACATGAAAGAATTGGTTACATCTTGGCAAAGCAAGGGATGAATATCATTATGATGGATGTTAGTCATAAGAAAAGGAAAAACAGGTTAAATGTTTCGAATAAATATTTCCAATTGTAATTGTTTCGTCAGATAAGATACGATCTTGTGATTTCATAACAGACTTAAAGGGTAAGTTTTCGGAGTTGAGATTTTAGTAATTTCAATTGTTGAGATCATGAGCCAATCCCGCGAGGCAGGATCATGGATGCGCACTGCTGATCAGTCCCACAATATGACGAAACGGTCTTCCAGTGCTTCCAGATTTTCCATTATGGTCTAGCTTCAACTGACTCATGATCTCAACAATTGAAATTGTTAAATTCCCCTAGTTTACATCACATATATGATCTTAGTTAAATAACTATTGAAAACCACTAACAGATGTTTCGTTTAATTATGTGCTCCTCAACAGTCCCTATACACACCATGTACACCATTGTATAGAGAATCATTGGTTTGAAAGTTAAGCACTCGTTGCAAAACTTTAGATTATAGTCTCGAGCCCTAGTAAAATTGTGATTATTTAATGCTTTGTAGTTTCCAATAAATAATTAGCAAAGACCCACTCGTAATGTAAACTATGAGAGTTAAAACACTTGAATTAAAACTGTAAAAATCGATAACTCACTATTGTTTATACCATTACACTTTATACCAATGTCACATTTTAATTTAAATAATTTATATATATATAATAACATATAAAATAAAAATGAAGGTGAAGGTCCGATGTAAAGCATATAAATCAAAATATCACATCTAGGTAATCAAAAGTGTTATGATTATTACTTATGCCTAATAGCATACGGAGCTCTCCCATATATTTGAACGTTTTTGTATGTTGCGCTCTTTTTCATTGTAAAATTCAAGAGGTTTCTGTGGCATAATTGACTTCATAGTTCTTTATGTGATTTATGTATATTGTCTGAATATCAATGTGTTTACTAAAACAATGAAATCTAACTCTCTACACTAAGTAATATATATACAATATATAATACAAACATGATAGATTTTAAAAGTCATTCATTATTCCCACATTTAAGAACTTAGAAGATATTCAAATAATTCCATCAAGAAAACTAATAGAAGAATAATTATGACTCTCATTCATTCATATTAATAAAGACAGTTTATTCTATTTAATCCAATTTTTATGACACCAATTTTCTCTCTTTTTTTCTTCTTTTCTTTCTCTTTTCTTTTTTTGGTATTCACAGTTAATAAAATTAACATTTAAACATTCATAAAATAAAACTATTCAATTTTAAGGACACATTTATGTACAATATACAATGTAACACATTATACACTTGTTTAAATGTATCATTTTATAAATGCCTTAATCATTTTAAAGTATAATAGAGGGTAATATGAATTCAGGATTTTAGTGAGTTCTATGTCAAAAAAAGATTGTTGAAGAATACAGTATAAAATTTAGAACTTTATTGAAGTATTCAAAGTTCCAATGATTCTTATATATGAGTGTTAAATGTTCAATATATCAATAAACTTTTAAGAAGAATATCTTATGTGAAAAGAAAGTTTGTTTATTTATTTAATGGTTAGTTGTTTTTCTATTGTCCTTAAATGATACAATTTACTAATTGATTAGCACAAATATGATAGTTACATTGTTTAAAATTAATTCATAAGAGATAAAAAATGTATGATAATAGAATAAGTGAAATGTGATCAGATATGAAATATAGGACTTATGTTTTTGTCTATTTTAGAGTTCATTAAATGGATGTACTTATTAACCCAGTGTTGCTGTTTCTATGAGAACTCAATTTCAATAATTTACATTTTGAATGCTTAACAAGTTATTCACTGAATTGATAAGTCTAAATTGACAGAAGTTTATGCAATAGGTATGATGGTTATATATCATATAGGACACATTTTACAGTCTGAATCCCGTTACAAGCCACATTCTATCTACTCTAGATAAATATGTAACAGTGTGAATGTATTAGCGCGATTCCCACAGTGTTCATATGTCAATTACGACAGATTAAACTTCAGTCAAGAACAATAACAAAAAGATCATTTAAAATAGCGCAAATCAAATATCTATTTATACTTTTCTTGTAGATATCCTTGGTTTTTCTACCTATAGTTAATAACCATGATAATGATTTAACACTTATATATTATTGGATTCTGTGTCTAATAAAGAAAGGACTAGATAATGAACAGATTATACGACACCATGGTCTATTTCACAACAAATTATCAAAATACTAGGTCTACCTGTATACCATCTTTTGTTACTATTCTAAATTTAGTTTATTCTTGTGGATTAGTTACTAAATGTTTCGGTTACTGATTAAATAACTTTTTCATTACTAGTTATTGTACATTGGTGTTATTCAAATCTGAACTTCCTCAATAATGTAGGTATATATTTTGTCCATTAGTCATCATAGAAGTGAAATCTAATTGGCAGATTTCTTTGCAATTGCATATAACTATCGAGTTATGAGTTCTCGAACATTGATCATGACATGAAATACATCGACACTTCTTGAAAATAATCATTTGAATTAAGGTCTCAATTATCCACAAATACAGTTTACAGGTTATTCATAAAAGATAGTTTTTCTAGTTGAATAATCATGATTCGTATCATCATAATTCAGTTTGTAAAATCTTTTACAAATGTAAAATTAAGTTCCATTATAAATCGGCATCACTGATTTCTTGGTTTTCTCATTGAAGTCAGTTTATATGAAAATGTATCTTTAGATTATTATTCAATATTCGACAGAAATCTTATTTAAATTTTGGACTTTAAATGGCTGGCTCAGTCAAAACATGTATAATCTAATAGATGATAAAATATTAAGATTAATGGTTAACTATAAATAATAATTAACTCCGCCTGGAGTCCCTCCGGGGGCTACTGCCGGTCCCAAGCCCGGATAAAGGAGGAGCGTTGGGCATGGGGTCAGCGTCCCCATCCCGTAGAAAACCAACTCGCTAAAAAAACGCTAACCAGAAAAAAAATTACAAGTAATAATTCGTTTTAACTGAGAAAGTTGATGATCAATTCAAGTATCACAACTATTTTTGTCATCCACCGTATATTAAGTTCATGAACCTCAGTATAGTTATTTTTTGTTATTTTCAAAATGTGTACAGGAAGGAGAAAATTTCAATAAGTTCAATGTTTCAATTTAAGATCTCCAGTATTTATGTCATCACGACAGGTTGTAAGCCTATCATGATATCTCATGCACCCACAAAATTAGAATTCATAATAATTGTTCGATCTAAACGAATGTATAACAAGAACATCTGTCGAAGCCAAGATGATATGATTATTAATACGTCCTAGTAACGGCTTCTAGCGAGAAGTTTTTCATCTATGTGACAAACCAAGTCAAAAGTGGAACATCTGAATTTTTATTGAATCATAATTCATGTTTTATTCGAGCAATATAACATGAAAGTAGGGGAGTTTCTATGTAAGCATGATTGCTAGGTCGTTTCAAAAACTTACTTGCAAATGAATATGAACACCAAATGTATAAATCAGTCCATAACAATTAAATTAGACCATGATTTATTTTACCATTGATTTAAGAAAACCATTGCGAAAAATATACTTTATAATGACATAAATGTAAACTAGTAAGCACCAATACTTTAATGAATGTTTCCATTTTTATCGATCAAGTAAAAATAACAATGGTCGAAAAGCAATACGAAATCAATTAATTTCCTCAAAGATTGTTTTTACTGTTTTGATATAGATACCTCTACTATTTAATCTCAAACTATCCATTCATTACTCACTAGAAACTAAGAAGTGACACTTTGAGACAAATGCATTTTATTGGTATCGCTTGTCTGAGAATAAAGTTAATTGTCATTTCATCGAAAAAATGCTCTACGATCAGACCATTAAAACCGGGCAGATTTATTTGTATCTAAGTTGATTCTCATTCCGGGACTTAAACACGGGACCTTTTGCTTCAAACAACCAAAGTGTTATCCACTTAACTACTGAATCCAGACACTTATTTACTTTTGAAATGAGTATGAGTTTTTAATGAAGTTTTAGTAGGTCTTTAGAACTATCCCAATTTTAACATTTCTGACTAAATTTTGATAAGTCTCGGTGGATAATACATTTGCAACTTGATGCGAAACGTACTGAGTTCGAATCATGGAGACGTTTACTCTGAAATTCAGGCATAACCAGATGACGAGTCCCAATTGAAACAAAATGGGAGTTCCGTATTTCACTCCTTCCTATATTTCATTTATGATAAAAATTCTTGTGGTCTAATGGCTACATTAAACGAATTCACCAAGATCCACTATATGATAATTAAGACTAATCAAAATTCACTCCAAAATACCAACAATGAAATAACCCAATAAACCATCACAAAGTAAATTGATATCTGTTGAAAAAAAACAGTATAATGTTTTCTTGTATTATAATTGACCAGACTCTGAACTCACTTTACTCATCGCGAATAAATTCTCCAGTTGATAGTAAAATGCATAAAGAATATTTACTGGTATCGGTTGCCCATAGAAGAGTATTCCACATTTGGCTAACTAAAATTTATTAAACCAAGCAAAAACTAAATGGAAACAGTAATACTACAGGTGATACCATAATCAATAGTTATGTAGTGTAATCACCCAATTGAATAAAAGTCCCACTTTTGTAATTTTTAAATCATGAAACGTTTCATTTCACTTAATAAAATACGAAACTTATAAATTTTGTAACAGACTTGCCAATAACAGGGAACTGTCATATCGAAATCTAATAGTCAGTAATCGGCTGTAATGTTGTTGACAAAGTCCCGTCATCGCTCTTAATATGATCGATATCATGGTCAAATTACTTTTTACATACTTGTAAATTATGTATATTTCGAAAAGATATTAACAAGTGACTGACTTTTACCGAATTAGATTATGTTTTACCATAAAAACATTTCTTTTTATAACATCTTCTATGCCTTTTGAAACGATTTTTGTTATAAAATGTTGGATATTAACACCGTTAGATGCCAAGTCAGTAGTCTAGAGGTTAATCGTTCGTGCGCTAGACTGATAAGTCATGGGTTAAAATCTCGCGAGGCAGGATCATGGACGTGCACTGTTGAAGAGTCCCACAATAGGACGAAACGGCCATCCAGTGCTTCCAGGTTTTCCATGGTGGTCTAGCTTCAATTGACTCATGATCTCAATTATTGAAATTATTATGATATCCACAAAAACCCCTTATAGTATAATAAGTACTCAAAACATTTTTGAGCACCTTACAAAGGTAATATTTGGTCATTGATAATAAAAAAACTCAAAGTTGTGATGTCACTGATTGTGCTTTTATCTTTGCAGACTACTATACAAAGTTATCATGAGTAGTGACGATTTTTATTTAAATCCAAGTGAATGGTTTGAAAGTTGAATAATATTATGAATATTTTCATTATGAAATTCTTGAAGTTGAGCAACATCAAACAGTCACACATTTTATAAATTTTCAACCAAGTAATCAACTTTGAGTAATATCGGAGAAAAGTGTTGTTGTACATTAACTAGGTATCAGAATAGGTCAGGATTATTGTCTCCAGAATAAACACTAGATAATACAGGTTAAGTTGCCACTGAAACACTAGTTTCATCAAGTCTAAAGATAAATAGACAAAATGCTAAAAACCTACACGTTCAAGTCCACATTATATCTTTAAATGTGTCAGTGAACAAGGATTCTAATAATTTTCTTGGTGTTTCCCAATAATCAAAATACATTTTACTATGCAAAAATCATATGTAAATGTCAAGTTGTACATCATCTTATCAAATAATGAACCCTATTTTAAAGGGTTGACCTCTGAAACAGGAAATGCTGTTCACTATCTATTCACAAGTGTACAGTTATGGAAACAAAAATTTCCATCACAAGCTGACTATATTTAAACATACTGCGAAATCGTAAAATAATTAAGATGACTTCACTGTTGTCGAAGTACATCCACTTTTTATAAATGTCATAGCCTTTTACTCTGACAACTTATGAATCTGGGGAAAAGTTAACATTAAAATATTTCAACCATCATCATTTTGAAAGATTACAAAGTAGTGTCATGCTTGAATTCATTTGGTATTGTTTTGCTTGTATCTTTCCATTGTTGTTTAGAACTCCAGTTGATCAGTCTCTTGTTGGCATATGTCTTGATTTCGCTTTAAGTCACAAGCTTTATAAGCATGTATGGATGATGGCTAACAGGTACATACAACTGACAAGTCCCAAGTAGGGTGAAACGTGCGTCCTTAATTCAACTGTTAGCCACTATCCATCTTTGCTTACAGTGTCATATTTGTTTAAAAGATTCAATGTATTAAAAAAATAATGCATAATATCATCTGGTCATATCTGGCATGTATATTAATCATTTCATTTAGGAATGGTATTTGTTATGTTTACGAAGAACTTGTAATGTCCAAATCAAATAATCAGTTGAATTCATTAAAATGATACTTTACACTATTAATTTATATCGGTTGGTTAATGAATAATCGATTGAACTCGTAATACAGCTCATTGTTCATGAATTTTTCAATTTACATTTAGTATATTGTTTACATGGTTACACAATGTTTGAATGAAAATGGATTTATAGAATCTCTAACACTTGATATCTAGAATCTTGTCTTATCAAATCCAATTTAAATATACTTTATCAAGTGATAAACTATCATTGAACAATATAGTACATTTATTTGTTGACAGTAAACATTAAACAACAATACAAACCAATGCAGAACATTTATATGAATCAACTGGTGATTTTTAAACACATCAGCATACATCACTACTATATGAAGTGTATATCTATGTAAATTGATATGTAGTTGACCATTAATGTGCTTTTTTTAAGTGATTTAGTTACATAACTTGACAATTGTTTTTTTAAAAATAATTTTAACCAGAATCAGACACCATTTTGAGTTAGTATCATTTAACTATTGAATATTAGGAAGAGGTTTTGTAGAGATTTTAGTAATTTCAATAGTTGAAATCATGAGTCAATTAAAGCTAGACCACCATGGCAAACCTGGAAGCACGGGACGACCGTTTCATCTTGGTATGGGAATCCTCAGCAGTGCGTATCCACGATCCCGCCCCCCGCGAGATTCGAACCCATGACCTATCAGTCTCTCGCACGAATGCTTAACCACTAGACCACTGAGCTGGCATCCAACGGTGTTAATGTCTAACTTCAACTAATCCACGAAATCGCGCCACCCTACACCATTGTCTTCAGTGAGCTGATATCTCACAACAGACCTGGTTAAATATTAACATTGATCATTCAATTTACTTTGTATAAACTTAAAGCTACATTAATGATGAATAAAAGAATCAGAGCATAGATATAAATAAATTCAACATGAAATCAATATTAAATAGTAATTCTTCGAACAGAATTTTAGATCAATTAGCGGAATTTACATATTCTAACCACCCATAAACATTCGAATAAGAAACAATAATCTATTGGGTAATAATTTTGCCTACCGATATTCGTATATATGAAAAAGCATTCAGAATAAATGATAAACCTTTATCCTATTATCAGTGTGTTTATCATATGATTAAATGAGTTCATTGTAGATAATTCAACATTTAGTTAAATCACTGGAATAGATTTTATATATAACTTCGAACCATTAACAATCAATCAACTTTCGAAGTACTAGAATGATATAAACAATAAAAATACAGAATAAAATATAACCAACTACATGTGTTTGCCGTTTATTAGAACATATGGATTTGGCTTTTTATTCGATGTTTTGCTGAAAAGTCTCGTTTGCATTAAGGATAACTACCTATTCTCGTTAAGGCTTATTGATGCTAGAATAAATAAGATTCTTAAATGAATATCAACTATAATAACTGATGTACAAAGTAGCGATTATTGATGTAATTTAACACTTACAATTTCTTCATGAGTCGGACGTTTGTATTCTAATCCAGAGTACCAAAGGCTTTCACAATATTGTCTCAATGCATCCTATTAAAGATAATGCAAATAAAAGTTGAATATAACAATGTATAAAATATATTATGAAAATTAGTACAATATGGTTGGCGGTTTACAGATATAATCAGATTAGTAAAAATTATTATGTAATAATATTGCAACAACACTGTGATAAAAGACCTGAGTTTTAACTTTCGGAAAAAGATAATCTCTACATTGATTCTAAAATAATCATTTTGAGATGGTGGAGAAGATGTGTAGCCCAGGTGGATGATTTTGATGGAGTTTTGTTTTTTGAGGTGGATGGTTTGGTCGTACAGATTTCACCGTTTTTCTGAACGACATCATCAGCACAAACAATGACAAATTTAAGGTCAATAAGAACCAATCAACATCGAGGTGTACAGAACAAGCTGTGAAACTTATATGGAGAAATTCGAAAACTTCACTTCTATCTGAAGTTTGTGCTGATGATGTCGTTCAGAAGGACGATGAAAGCTCCACGACCAAACCATCCAGCTCAGAGAACAAAACTCCACCAAAATAACCATTTTCTACAAAACTAATACGAATATGAACTAATGAAAATCATAGATTATGAAAAAGTCCTAGTGAAATGGTTTTGCACTATAGAATTAGTTATTGTATATACTCCAGCAAAATGTATAGATCCAAATGAGCACAGAGTTGTCATTAATATACAAACTGATAATAAATACTGAAATGGCAAAAATATACCATGAACAAATCATAAATTGAGGTTTGATATAATAAACATAACATATTTGCCATAGACGGCACATATAACCGTTTGAGTACTGAAAAGCACCTTTTAACTATAATAATGATCAAAGTTAGATAATGTAGAGTACATTTCTATTTACTTATATATGTATTATAAACCGAATAAACCAATAATGATAAAAATATACAGTAAAAACCTTTAATTAAGTTGCACACATTTGTACTTGTCATGGTAACAAATTGTATTTAAATTTGGGAACAATCATAGAATCCAAATACATTTTACAGTTGCCTATTGTGGAAAATGACTTTGTAAATAAGACATCTAACCAACATCAAATACTCATATATATATAGGGACAACTTAACCATTTTTCACAACTGACAAACTCACTAAATCAACAATGGTATTATTGAGCCACACGTGACCATGTCTTTTAATCAAGTTAATTCTAGTAATGTGTTGCTTAGAATTAAACAAAAAGTATGCGAACTTTAAAAAATACAAAATAATTCTCACTATAATTTCAAGTTTAAAAACCTTTATTGTTTTTATACACTAAATAGTTTATAAGTGAAATAAAATACAATAACTGTTAATGTCGAATATGTTCTATATTGTATTCAGAAGTTAATTGTTATCATTGATATGATGGAAAGAAAAGTCAATGTTCGATTGATTTCCTCATTACGAGTTTTGGTTCAAGATTACTTCCGTTTTGATTCAATATGATGATCATTCAGTGTAGTAGTTGTTTTGTTTTCTTGTATAATTTGCGGTAATCTTGTATTCCATTGACATGAACTATGCTCATTATGTGATTTGTTATATATATGATTTCATCCTAATTATTAATCAAAATGGGTGTACAATCAGTATATAAATGAGTTTATTTTCGACTAGTGTCGTCGTCGTGTTTTGGGGTTAATAAATCTTCTTGATGGATTTTTGTTCTCTGAGCTGGATGGTTTGATCGTGGAGCTTTCATCGTTCTTCTGAACGACATCATCAGCACAAACTTCAGATAGAAGTGAAGTTTTCGGATTTCTCCATATGAGTTTCACAGCTTGTTCTGTACACCTCGATGTTGATTGGTTTTTGTTGACCTTAAATTTATCATTGTTTACTTCTTTGTTTTGGTTGTGTCTCCCATTGGTTTGATTTTTGTTCCTACATTTGTGCATGATTTTCCTGATTGGTTGATAAATTGAACTGATTTCAATAGGCTTGTTGATTGCTCATTCACCTAAGTGCCAGGCTTCTAAAAATACTCTGGTGTTTTTGAAATTTCCTGTCTAAGATTTCTACATTTTCCCAATCGAATGAGTGTCCGCAGATGTCTTCGTGTATTGATATGAGTGAGGATATATCATGCCATTTGACTGCCAATCGATGTTCATGTAGGCGAAGGTGAAGGGGGTGTCCGCTTTGTCCGATGTAGTGTTTGTCGCAGTTGGTACAATTTATTTTGTAGATTATGTTTGATTTGTTTTCCTTTGTTATTTCATCTTTTGGTTTGCATAGGATTGATTGTAATGATTTTGTTGGTTTGTGTGCCACACCTATCCCGAAGGTTTTCAGCAGTCTCGTTGCGGTTTCTGATATTCCTTGTATGTACGGTAGGGTGATCCTTTTGTTGATTTTTGTGCTTGATTTGGGTTCTGATGCTGTGTGCCGTTGGTGCTTTTTGATGAAGTTGATTGGGTAGCCGTTCTTTCGAAATATGTCCTCCAGGTATTTCTCTTCATTTTTTCGTGCTGCCAGTGTGCTGCAGTGTGTCCTCGCCCTCTTGAACAATGTGTGTACGCAGTTGATTTTGTGAGCTCTGGGGTTGTTGCTATTGTAGTTAAGAATTTGATCCGTATGGGTCGGTTTCCTATACACTTGAGTTTCCAGTTTTCCTGTGTCGGTCCTAGTGATCAATATATCCAAGAATGATAGTCTGTTGTTTGACTCCTGTTCCATTGTGAACTTGATGTCATCGAAAATGTTGTTGATCAGTTTGTAAGTGTTTTCCAGCTCATTATTTTGACAGTGACGAATGTGTCGTCTACATAGCGAATGCAAAGTTTTGGCTTGATCACTGGTAATATCGTGGCTTCTAGTCTTTGCATCACTGCTTCTGCGATCAGTCCTGTTATTGGTGATCTCATTGGTGTCCCTTTCGTTTGTTCGTAGATTTTGTTGTTGAACTGAAGATATGTTGTTAGGCATAATTCGATGAGTTCTCGTAGACTTTGGGTTGGAAGAAACTATATCCCTGCTCCTCATCAACGACACAAATCTCACTAAATACACGAAGCTTCAAGTAGCATTCAATTGACAAGTTATAACAATCATCTTTTATAATATTACATAATTGAATCATAATCATCAATGTCTTGTTGTTATAACGCTTATTATTTATCAACAAACTACAATAAAACGTTAATTTTAATTTAATTTGTTAACAAAATAAATTAATATCTAAACTGTTCGTTGATAAACAATCTATATGTCCGTATATTCTGAAGTAGTTAAACTTCATACTGATAAATCTTTTAATTGAACGCTTGATTCAGTTTCCTAAACTCTCCTAGTAACCCCCAGGCTAAATCTACACGGTAACTTGAATACGAAAGAAAAGTCATAAAAAATGGGAAGAACGTTTTGCTCCAATGTTAGATCATGTGCAAAAAATCAAGAGTATTTCTAGCATTTCAGATGACTTTGGGCTTCTGGAAAGTTCTGAAACCTTTCTAAACATATCAGCAGGATAGATAATCACCGAATCAGGAAGTTGACAAGTGAATTTTCACTTTCTAGATGTTTCTGAGAAACGTCTATTGAATGTTAATTGGGTAAAATGTTTCTCAGCGCTTTTTTTGGGACCCCATTGAGCATTTTGTCTTTTTGCGGAATTTCCTGGGTCTGCTTAACACATCTTGTATGTAACTGATAAGAAAGCAGCGAAGTACAATCTTACTCTGAAAATATTATTTTTTTTAGTTTGTTTAAATTTATGAAAAATCATTCAAATGAAAATACTTTTTTTCTTGGTTTGTAGTGGCTGTGCTTCGTTAACCAATCACCCTCGTAACCGTTATCATATAACCCTCAACAGTGTTGAAATCAGAAGGCAAAGAGAAGCAGCGACTACAGTTTTATTAACAATGATGCGAATGAGAGAGTGAGCGAACTGAGAGTGCCGAGTGTTAAATATATATAGGGGAATGAATGCATCATCGAATCAATTAAGCAGCTAATAATAAAACTAGCAGAATGAATATATGAGTAGGCGATAAGCAATGTTCAAGCATACATATTTCACACAAGCTCAACAATAATAAAGATACAATAAGTTGTTATAGTACGGATGACTTTGTCCGCTAAATAAGTTAACAAAAGGGCCTAATGGAGTTAAATGAGAACGAACTCAATTGCTCGTGTATCGCAATATGTTTCTAGATGAAAATTACTAAATGTTTGCAAATTATTTATTTTTTTTGTTGATAAAAATACAAATCAATAACTCATTTTACATAACATTCCATAAATGTCACATTGAAGATAGGTGAAATGTAGAAGACCAACATGAACCCTTTTTTCAAATACAGGGGTATTTTTTTCTACTTAAATTACTTTTTTTCTTCCAGTGACTAATGATAAAAAATGATACTCATAGTCTCCTTACAAAAACATTTATTCAGTCTCTTCTAATAAAATGCTTAAAACTATGAGGTCAATGGTTATTTTATAAGTATATTGATTAAGTAATATAGAGTGAATTGATTAAAAACATAATTATAGTTTGGTGTAATCAATGTTTTGTTATGTAAAAAACGTTTGATAAACAAATGAAGAATTTTCACAGATTGAAATCATGAGTCAATTGAAGCTAGACCACCATGGAAAACCTAGAAGCACTGCATGGCCGTTTCGTGCTACTATGGGACTTCTCAGCAGTGCTCATTCCACGATCCCGCGAGATGCGAACACAGGACCTATCAATCTCGCACCAGGAGCTTAACCACTAGACCAGTGAGCCGGCCGGTATCCAATGGTAATAATGTCTAACTTCAACTGATCCACAAAATTGCACCACCGTACACCATTGTCTTCAGTGAGTTGATATCTCACAACAGACCCGGTTGAACTCCACTGGTAACGGCTTGTGTAGTATAGACAAACTATCAGTTATATTTTTTTCAGAATAGTTTATATAAAGCCTTTGATATTGGTTCATTGATATTTATCCACAAAAGTATTTATCAATGATAGATAAAAATCAAATGAATAATAGATT